TGTTGAGTTGTGTAGGAGTGTAGCCATACAGAGCTTGAAATGGAGACATCTTCAGTGCAGTGTGGAAGTTGGTGTTGTACCACCACTCTACTGCTACCAGTAGCCTTTTCCATTTGCGAGGTTGTTCAGAGCACATGCACCTTAAGTATGTCTCTACACACCTGTTCACTCTCTCTGTCTGACCATCAGATTGGGGGTGATAGGCAGTAGAGAAATTTAACTGAGTCCCTAGCCGTGAGAATAGCTCTTGCCAAAATATGCTAGTAAATGTCCTGTCTCTATCTGACACAATGCTGGAGGGTAAGCCATGCAATCTGAATATCTGATCAAAGAACACTTGTGCTACACTCTTAGCAGTATAGTGGCTTGTTAAAGGGATGAAATGTGCAAATTTTATAAACCTGTCAACCACTACAAACAGTGTATCACACCCCTCAGATTTAGGGAGCCCTTTAATGAAGTCCATAGATATGTGCTGCCAAGCTTGTTCTGGTACGGGTAGGGGCTGTAACAGCCCAGGAGGCTTACAATTCTCTCCCTTATTCCTCTTACATATGTCACAGCTCTGTACAAAGTCCTCTACCTCTCTTTTCATGCCAGGCCAGAAGAAATATGCCTTAGCTCTCTTGTAGGTACCCAGATTTCCTGAGTGTCCTCCAACTGCTGACATGTGCATGCAGGCAATGAGTTGTTGCCTGAGTTAAGTAGAGGCCCCTACATATACCCTTCACTTGTACCTGATGACCCCTCCATTGTAGGAATATTCAGGCATTTCTGTGCCATTGATGGCTAATGCAGTGAGCAACTCCTTGGCTTTAGGATCTTGCTCATAACTTCCAGCTAAGTCAGTGATCCATGCAGGCTTCACCATGGATATGGCACTGAGCTCAAGAGAGTCCTTCCCCCTCCTGGAGAGTGCATCTGCCACTACATTCTCCTTCCCCCTCTTAAACTGAATCTCATAATCATACCCCATCAGTTTAGTTAACCATTTCTGCTGCAATGGAGTCCAGATCTTTTGCTCCAGCAAGTATTTTAGGCTATGATGATCAGTCCTAATGATGAAGTGAGACCCCAGTAAGTAATGCCTCCACCTGTTAACAGCAGCAATTAAGGCTAGTAACTCCTTTTCATAGATAGATAAAGCCTGATTTCTTGCACCTAATGCCTGACTCATATAAGCAATGGGCTGTCCTTGCTGCATAATGACAGCTCCAATAGCTTGATTGCTGGCATCTGTCTCTAACACAAAAGGCTTTGAGAAGTCTGGCAATGCCAGAACTGGTGTGTTACTCATAGCCTGTTTGAGTTCAAGAAACGCAGCACTGGCTTCCTTGTTCCAGACAAAACCATCCTTCTTTAAAAGATCAGTGAGGGGCTTGACTATGGATCCATAGTTCTTGACAAACCTCCTGTAATATCCCGTCAAGCCCAAGAACCCCCTTAAGGCCTTGATATCAGTAGGTTCTGGCCAGTTCACCATGCACTCTACCTTGGAAGGATCAGCACTCACCCCTTCACCAATAACCACATGCCCCAAATATTCTATTTGATTTTGTCCAAAAGGGCACTTAGTGAGCTTAGCAAAAAGGGTATGAGATCTCAAGGTCTCTAAGACCTGTCTAAGGTGGCGAATATGAGAGTCCATGTCTGGACTATATACAAGAATATCGTCAAAGAAGACCAAGACAAATTTTCTGAGGAAAGGTTCAAACACTGAGTTCATGAGGCCCTGGAATGTAGCTGGAGCATTGGTATGCCCAAATGGCATGACTAGAAATTCGTAGAGCCCACAGTGAGTTTTGAAAGCTGTCTTAGGAATGTCCGAGGGGTTCATGCAAATCTGGTGGTAACCAGATCTCAGATCAATCTTGGAGAAGACTTTAGCTCCATGAAGTTCATCTAAAATATCATCTATAATGGGAATTGGAAATTTATCTTTAATGGTTAGGGAGTTAAGTTGCCTATATTCTATACAAAATCTCCAGCTACCATCTTTCTTTTTGACCAATAGGACAGGTGAAGCAAAGGGACTGTGACTAGGTTGGATGATGCCGCTGTGCAGCATCTCCTTGACTTGTTTTTCTATCTCAGTTTTCTGGACGTGGGGATATCTATAAGGAGCTAATTTGAATGGTTTTGCATCAGCTTTCAAAGGGATTTGATGGTCAAATGATCTTCTAGGGGGTAATTGTTTAGGCTCACTAAACACATCCTGGAACTCAATCAACAGAGGTTCTAGAATATTTGGAGTGGTGTTTACCTGTGACTGAGCTGTACTGATCGTGCAGGCCTGCACAGCTTGCTTGAGTTTCTTCCTCATGTATCTTTTGGCCACCTCTCCCTGAGTTATCCTGGTGTTTGCAGTACCTTCATCCCCTCGCAGTGTCACCATGTCACCATCCTTACTGAAAGAGACCTACAGTTGCTTAAAATCAAATGTTAGTGGGCTGTAGGCTTTCATCCAGTCCACTCCTATGATCAGAGATCATAGGGCTCCAAATCTAACAGGTACACACTGTGGCAAAATTTTTGTCCCTGCATGCTCCATTGGAGATTGGGTATCCACTGACTGCAACAAAGTTCCTGACCATCAGCAATTTTGACTTTGAAAGGTTTGTGTTGCCGGATAAGCTCCTGCCACCTTTGTGCAACTGTCTTCTTAAGGAAACAATTAGAACTGCCTCCATCCAATAGAATAGAAATTTCAGAGTCTCTAACCTTCCCCAACAACCTAATGGTGATAGAGAGCAGATTCCCTGTGAGTGAATGTAAGGATAGTTCGACCTCCTGTTTGTTCCCACTACCCATGTATTCTATCACCTCCTCCTCATCTATCCTGTCCTCTAAATCAGTAGCAATAATCATGTGTAACCCCTTGTCCTTACACATATGACCTGGTCCAAACTTTGCTCCACATTTAAAGCACAAATGGTTGTCCTTCCTGTATTGGAACTCGGTGGGGGTGATTCTCTTGTTCGGTTGAGAAACAGTACCTTGCTTCGTGGAATCTCCCTCGCTGACTGTTGCTGCCTTGGCCACAGGTGGTCTGTGTGTAGACATTCCTCCACTGGAACTCATCTGTGAAGAAGGAAAGAGCCTGTTAGATGCCTTGCTCTTTTTGAAAATTACCTCCAGTGCCTTTTCCTGCCATCTTGCGACCTCGAAGGCTTCTTGTAGGGTCTGAGGTTTGTGCATTTTGACCAGTGCCTTGAGTTCCTCCTGTAATCCACTCAGATAGCTGGAAACAAAATAACTCTCACTCAACCCTGGATTCATGAGCAGTACTATGGCTCTCAATTCCTCAAACTTCTCCTGATAAGCCATTACTGTGGAGGATTGCTGCAGTTTGTTGAATTCCTCGACTCCATCCTTATCCCCTAGGTCTCCAAATCTGTGACTCACTCCTTCCTTGAACTCTTCCCATCCAAATGTCCTCTTATCCTGTTTGAAACTTTGGAACCAGACATTTGCCCTCCCTTCCAAGTGCATTCCTGCAATCAGCATCTTCTGCGAATCCAATATGCCATACAGATGGAAGAAAGTCTCGCATTTCTGAATCCAATCCCTTTCCTGCTCTCCTGTGAATCTGGGGAACTCTAGCTTGGGCACCCCTGGGATGAAGGCATTTCGTTCTCCTCTTTCCTGATGTACCTGTCCTGGCCTGGGGTTGCCTTGCAAGGAACTTGTAGGGGTGGCTAGGAGTCCTCTTTCTTGTTATGGATTCCTGTTAATCCCTCCAATCTGCGCCGAAATGCCGGCTACTAGAGCCTTAAACTCTGTGGAGTTAGCCAGCATCTTCTCCTCCATGGATTTCAGAGCCTCACTGGTAGACTCCATGAATGTCTGCAACTTAGCTTCCTGCTTTCGGACCTGCTCCTCGATTGTTTTAAGGCGTGTACCTTCTGCCATGGCTGTGAATCAAGCTCCCGAATCCAAGGATCGGAAGCTCTGATACCACTGTAATGGAGCCAGAAAGAAAAGAGAAGAAGAAAGAAGACTTGAGCAAGAAGAGACTGAGATTTTATTCAAATGCCAAAAGTGCCTTTCTCCTCCGGATCCTCATGCTTATATACAGCTCAGATAATATCTAGCTGCATGCAAATGATGTCTTGGCTGCATGCTGACTAGGCAATAACAGACTAACAAACTAACTACAAGAATATTCCCTCTAACTAACTCAATGGACTGTATGGATTGCATGGACTGCATTTCAATCTTTTCTAATGGCTGAGCTAGTCATTACACAGAACTGAAATATCCTTTTTAGTCAAATATTCTAAACCCACAATCTCAAAAGCTGATTTTCCAAGTTCAACATAACAATGATAACAACAGGACCATCAACCCCCATAATTAGCTTGGTTGAAATATTCAAATCCCAAAATTAAACTTGAATACAGGTGCTAAAACAGCCACCAAGGAAACTGCTGGAAAAAAAGAGGCAAATGCTCCAATTCACTTGACCGACCGTGAAGAAGTTTTAATCAATTTACAATTTGGTAAAGAGTTCTAGCTTTTTCTAGAATATTTAAGCTACAATTAAGGACTTCAACTCAGAATATATGTTCTACCGCATTATAGCAGCCAGAAACTAACATCTAAAACCATGCTAAACCAACGTATTGCATTATGATTGACAACAAAAAGAAAAAATCATTAAAAATAGTCAAAGCTAGACTAAGACTTTCCTGTGAAGACAAAATATGAGCTTTCAGATCTGTTAGTATCTGCAAAAAAAATTGTTGCAATCCGTGTCAAGAGAAAACAAACAGTTAATTGATACAATGAAATTTTTACAACAAATGGCCTAAAAAAATGCCATTAGAATAAGACAAAAGGAAATTCTTAGGCCCAATATGTTGTGTCGCATTGTAAGCAGCAGCAAGAAGTGGTTTACAAAAAAGAGCTAAAGAATAGCTGTGAACATCACCTGCTCATTTACAAGTATCAAGGTTATCATTGGTCTGCTAAGTCTCCACTGATTGCCAAGATCCTCAAACAAAACTATCTCAAAGAGGGTCTTGAGTATCTGAACAAAAGCTAATATCAGTACAAGACAGCAGAAAGCTTGGAAGAAAGGTAAAGCAACTACATATATACAAATAATCCCTCTCTTTCAATGTTAATTTAAACAAAGTAGAAGACTTTCTTTTATTGGCCATTGATTCTGGGTCAACTTTTTTATTGGCAATATCAATAATCCAGATATCTCAAAACTCTCTGTGCGCTCATTGCTAAATGAAGATATTTGCTAATACTTTGCACTACAAGTGCGTGCTCATGATAGAAAATGCAGGCGTTTGTCAGTTTATTTTTTTTAAATGCCTTTCAGATCTGCAAACTAAGATGAAGCAATCATACTGCCACAGACAGTCAATGCAGAATGGTAGAATTATCAGCCTCTGTAATTTGAGGATGAGGACATTACTTTATAAAGCTCACTTTGGTACACAAGAATAATATACTCAGCCTACCTCTGGGAACATAGTGGGACATTCTGAAACATGCCTTGTGTCGCGCCCCACTTTTTGATGTTGTGTGAAAGTGGTGTGTGGAATATGTATGTGAATGTGTGTGAAAATAAAAATAAAAGGCCGTGGGACTTGAAAATGCGACGATTTGGCCAAACAAAGTTCAAAAAGGGTTTTTTGCATGGAAAATGGAGTCGCCACTTGGTATAGAGTTAGGGTGTACCAAGTCACCCAAAAAAGTGATTTTTTGGAAGCAAAGTAAACAAAACCCTTTTCAAGAACTTTTAGGTCTACGTAACCAAAGAAAGGGATCGGGGGTCACATTTGATAAGGGAGAAGGCAAAGGCAAAACCTAAGGCACTCCCTTACCCTAGCAAGAGCTAGTTGCGTGACTTAGCCCTTCTTTTCCTAATTTCTTCTACCCAAAATATACATTGCATGTTGGATATGACTAATGGATATGAAAAAAGAAATGCAATCCTAAATCTAAAATGTCTCTTACGAGGCGTTTTGATCCCAACCACATGAGTTGCGGCGGCCAATAAGAAAAGTCCTCGTAGAGGTCGCAAACGATGCAAATGAAGACTCAAATGTGAGTGCAAGTGTGAAAATGTGAGAAAAACGTGCATGTGTGCAAATGTAAAACAAGTGCATGTGTGCAAGTTGAGAAACTAAAGGTGTTTGTGTGCAAATGAATGAAAATATGATAGATAGTAGTAAATGCGTATAAGTGCAATCGAGTGCAATTTGTGAGGTAGAAAATAAATAAGTGATAGGAAAAAGTGTGTGAACATGGCATGTGGAGTGAGAAAAACATAAGTAGTGAAAAATGTAGATAAAAATGAAAAAAAAAGTGATATGATAAGATGAAGATGCATGAACCTAGAAGAGTGCATCAAGTCGGGTACGGGAGTGACTCCTAATTTCACAACTTTGATTTTCCCTTTGATTAGAAGGAAAAACTAGCGTGCTAAGGCTATTTTGTAGCCACACTCGCTCGTTTCCCTTATCGAAAGGGGGCTCTCAAGCAAATGTACCCTATAACTAACATGAGGATGCAAAAACCTAAAATGAAGGGGAAATGATTGGAGGAGCATGCCAAATGCTAAAAAACTAAGAAAAAATGCATGAAATGTAGTGAAACATGCAAGTATGAACTAGCGAGGGAAATCCCTAAGGGTCTAGCGTTGGACTAGCCCATATCTATGAATTCCTACTAGCGTTGGACTAGCGGAAATCGGAACAAAGAACCACAACTAGCATTGGACTAGTGTGGTGACGGGAAAGGAATCACATCTAGCATTGGACTAGTGTGATAACATGCATTTATTACATTCATCTATGCCTATAGAAAGCAAGTAGACATGCCAATCACCTATAAACACGTAGCACATAACACTTAGCATGCTCGACTAAATGCAAGAGCCTAATAAAGCAAATTAACACGTAGCAACAAAAGCAAGCAATCAATCTAATGAACCTATTACATTTGCTAACTAAAACAAAAGGGGAAGGGGAAAATGGACAAAAATGCTCTCCAAGCCCTATCTATTACAAGCCAAGAGGTGTACACATACCCCACGAAGAATAACTTAAATAAAAGCAAAAGTAAATGAAATAAATGCAAGGAATTAAGGAAAGGCAAGGAAAGCGAAGTAGACATGCAATTTTCACTTAGCACGTTGGATCACGTAGGAGAGCCAAAAAGGGAAAAGAAATTATACCTCCCTTGCAATGATGATCAAATGAAGGAAAAATGGCTTCAAAACAATAAAAAGGTCAAGGTACCACTTTAATCAAGAAAAATTAAAAGAAATGTGCACCACAAAGCTCATTTGATCAAAAAGCCCCTAAAGTCACGATTTAAAATGCAATTAAACAAAATATAGCAATTAATTAAAGCAAACAAACAATGAAGTTGCAAAAATCAAAACTGCGAAGGATCAAATTGATGAAATTATTCAAATGGTTGGGTCATAGTGAAATGAAGGGGAACTTGGGGGGTTGGAATGCAATTTTTCTGGAAATTATTCATGCAGGTTGCATGCAAATTACGTAGAGAAACTCTGCTTTCATTTCTGCAACAAGAACTGCACGGCTTTCTTCTTTTCCCATTTTTGTACTTTCTTAAGCTTTTGGACCAAATCGAATGCAGTTCACACAACAACAAATCATCACCTGATCTACTCACTTTACAATGCAAACAAAAGGAATCAACCAAACACAAAAGAAAGATCCTGCAAAGCAAATTTTCTGCTGCAGCATTCATCCAGAATTTTCCGCCACTTTAAGCTTTCAAATGCAAGTTTCATAGAAGACTTCAAACAAAAAGCCAGCAAAGACCATCACTCAATATCTTTGGGCGACTAAACACCTTACTCAACACAAACCAATCAGGAACACAAACCGTTAAAATCAAACGAATGATCAAATGGGAAGCACATGTTGCGGCAGAAAATAAAACTTGCTGGAAATTTCATTTCCAAACGCAGATTCCCATCCAAATGCACAACTTTGATCTAAACTTTATCCACCAGACATCAAAATGAAAAACTAAGCAACCAAATCAAGAACTTCCGCATCTAATAGGCTAAAAAACTTAGCAAGATATTATGCAAAATTCTAGAAAAACATGCAAACATTTGATGTTCAAAAGCTGCTGCAACTGAAAGAGAGGTCTGCTGCATTTCCGTTTACAAATGGATTCTAGACAGCTTTGAGTATAGCCATTTCATCTGTCCAACATTGAACTTAACCAGCAAAGCAAGTAAACTCCTCATCCAACAAACCAAACATTGAAGGAAATTATACGAATACTGGAGAATTTTATGCAAAATGATTCGGCAGCAAGTCTGCGGCACAACAAAGACTTGGACAGCAAAAGCGCATGCCTGAAAGTGGAAAAATTGTGAGACTTTGCTGATTCTGCATGGTCAAGCAATGCTCACGAATTTGTGAACCCAAAAACTAACAAAAGTCTCAGACCATTCAGTTAACATAATCTGGACAGGATTCTTAATGTGCCAAAAAAAAGGAAAAAGCATGCAAATCTGGAAACAGAAGTTTTGCTGCAATTTTTCTGCTATCAATTTACAACTTGTTCGAACATTTTCTGGTAGTTTCAGACCCAAACCAGCAAACTTACTTACCCCAAAGTCCAATAAACTTCAGCACTAATACAACCCTACCGCAAGAAGCCAGTCATTGCAGGTCAAATGGAAAACCAAATGGGTGAGCATGCGACAACAAAGAAACGAAGTCGGTTTTCTAATGAATCCTAGATGTGTTCATTCAAAACTACACTTTTCAGTCGACCCATTGAGACATCAAGCATCAAACTGGTACAAAGCATTGACACAACCAAATCATCTAAGCCCTCCTTCGATAGCATCAGAAACTGGTTCTCTTTCTTCCATGAGACCCATGAACATCACAACATAAAAACCATGTAAATATCATTCTACATAACTGAATATTGGTCAAGCTTTCTACTTTTAAAGGTGAGGGAAACAGATTCTGGGATCAAAAAAATGGTCAAGCAAACGAGATTCACCCAACTTATGCAAACGGGCCAGGAGGAAACATCAAACGGAATTCCCTGAAGTATTGTGTCACTTTCTGGGTTTGTCCATTCAAACGCATAAAGATCGTTCATAAACATTAGACGGACAGCTTCATGAAACTCATCATACAATCCTACAGAGAAAACTCTAACAGCTGTCCCTAAAATCCAGCCAATACTCATGGATTCATCCATCCCAACCAGATTTCGCAGACAGGGTTCACGAAGGGAAATGACACAAGCGTAAAGACAAATACTTTCTACATTCTATCATAATCAACAGTTTCTAAATGGCTCCAGAGTAGAAAAAACATCACCTTTAGCTTTTGATCAAAGCTTGATTCAGAAGATGAAATCTTTGCTCAGTCGAATCGTCTTTTCCTGGTTTTGCCATTTTCCTTCTGTCCGGCAGCCGCTTCTCCTTGCTTTCTCCCTTTGGTTTCAGCCGAATACCCCCTTCGAAACCTTCCTCCTTTGCCTTTTCACTGCTTGCTCCTTCGTTGCCGTTTTCTTTTCCTCTCCGCCTCCCGCTCTCTCTCTTTTCCAGATCCTTCCTCCCTCTTTTGCTTTCCCCCGCTTTCCTGGTTTCTAGCCGTCTGCTCTCTCACTCTCTGGTTCTCAGCCGCTAACTAGATTTCCAGCCGTCATTCTGCTCCCCGTCATTCTGCTCCCCGTTCCTTTTTCTTCTTTCCCTTGCAGCCGTCACCCTCTTTCCTTCTGTTTTCTTTTTCTGCCGTCAACTAGCCCCTCAATCTCTCACTTCATCTCCTTTCCAGCCACCACAAAAGCTGCGTTCTTTTCTTCTAAGACCCTAGTCGCTCATCTCTCTCCACCAGCCGTCAAGTCTTCTCTGGTTTTTCTTTTCTTAGCCGTTCCCCTCTTTTCTTTTCCCCTTGCTGTTTTTCTATCTCCCCATCCCTTCTCCTGCTTGCGGCTGTTGTTCTTTCTTGTATTTATACCAGGCCAACCCTCACCTCAAGGGTGAGGATGGAAGAGGAGATTCCTCTTCAACCCAGGCCATCCGATGGCCATGTACCACTCTTCTTTGCAAGCTGCCAAAATACGCAGCTTGCATGCCGCGGACTCTTTTTTTTCTTTTTTTTTCTTTTTTTTTTAATAATAACTTAACAAAAATATAGATAACTAATTAATAAAAAATAACTAATGGAGAAATGAAAATTAAGATAAAAAATGAACTAGAAATAATAAATAGCAAAAATTGCAATTTTTCATTCATTTTTTTTTCTTCTCATCATTTTTCATTTTTCATCATTTTTCTTTTTTTTTTCTTTTCAAGAAAGCGTTGAATTTGAATAAAAAACAACTAAAGCATATTTTTGAATGTTTTTCTCTTCTTTTTGTTTTTCGAGAAATTCTATGCTAAAACTCCAAAAATAAAATAAAAACTAAAAATAAAAACTAAAAAACTAAAAAGTGAGTAAAACTGACACGACAAAATAATAAGTAAAAATAAATAGTAAAAGAAATTACAATAAAATTTTGGTGTCTACACCTTGCCAGACTAACTGCAGCTGATGAAGTGGGTGCTTCACCCATGGTATGTTGTTGAAATAGTAAGAAGCTAGATTGTCAATTGCTGATGCACACTGGCATTCAAGAACTGAACAGGTTTGATAAGAAATAAAAGCAATCACCTAATTATCAGACATACCATAGCTACCAGTGTGCCACAAAATTCATCGACGTAAAGGATCCATTTAAACATGCATCAGCATTTCACCATTAAAAATGGGTAACACTAGTTGTATTAACGACCAGTTGCCTTTGTTTAATATCACTGCTTTCAAAATCAGCAGTCAAACCAAACACTTAGCAAATGAATTCTGTGAATACTAGTTTTTTGACACTTTGACTGTACTATGGGCTTGTATACAACACCTGTTTTACTGACTACGTAAGTATGATGCTCTAAATGAATGCAGATACACCCATTGTGAAGCCTCACAAAAATTCTTTGCAGGAAATCAACAGATGGAAAAAAAATTCACTGTGTAAGTCATGTATTGCTCCATGATGGGTTTATAGAAAAATACCTGTGAGGATATACCACCATCTAGACCTTTCAGACCAGATTCAAGCGAACCAACTATATGCAGGAAAGTGTTTGTGTTAGAAAATTGGTTTAATTTCATTTAGGCAAATTTCTTGTTTTGTGTAGAAGTAACTAGTTTTTTAATTGGTTTTAGTTATTTGAAGTAGTAGTCAAGAAATTTCCTATTTTGTTTAGAATTTAGAAATTATTTCCTATTCTGTGTAAGTCTAGGAATTAGTATTGGTTTCCTATTATTGCTTGAGTTTTGATGAAATAATATTCCCTATAAATATGTAGGTTGACAAACTATAAAGAGACACACAAGGAGCACACAAGGGCGACATGTAGCCTTATACATGGGGTAAGAGAAGATTCTTGGGAAATGAGAGATGGTATACAAGAGTTGGGAATGGGTTTAAATTGTATTCTTGTATAGGATTTTTTCTCATGATAAAGAACAGGTTTTCTCTCCGTGGACGTAGGCTCAATGGTGGAACTAAACTACATTAAATATGGTGTGTCATTTATCTTCCATACTTGTGGCTTGTTTGTCATTAAATTGTTGTGTACTTGATATTTCAATAGTTGTTTGTTCCGTGCTTGGATCCCTATCAAATTTGTATTAGAATTTCAGGTTTCAAGACTAGACTACTCGTGGGTAAGTGGATCCTTCTCGGAGTTAGATTGTGAAAATTATATTTTTGGTGGTGGACCAAAGTGCCAAGGAGTTTGATTGGTGTTGGACCAGGTGTGCCATAAGTTTGGCAGGGGGTCCGGTTGGTGCTACACCAAGGAGCCAAGGGTTGGCAGTTGGCAGGGATCCAACATGCAATTTGAATGTTGAAGAAGAGTGGGTCCATGATTGAAAGAAAAATTGACCTTAGATGTTAAGGTGGACTTGTGTTGATTATTAAAGTGGGTTCAAAAAAGCGCTTGTAAATTTGGGTTTAATGTGAGGGGTTACTCATGAAGGGGGAGATTTGTTAGATTCATGAGTAAATGATTATGTCCCCCATTGGTCTGAAAGATAGAGAAATAGCAGTTAATATGCAAGTGAAGGCCGAGATCTAATGGCATAAGTTTTTGGGTCAGAGTTGGATTTCTGACTTAGATATTGGGTTCTTTAGTGAGCTCTCTCGAAATGTTTCTCCCTAACAAATAGTATCAGAGTTTGGTTGCAAGATTGAATTGCTCACAAACACTTGGATCCCAACAAACTAAATGGTTGGATCAAGAGTGTGAGACCCCGAAATTTTACTTGTCTTTATAGCTCCCATTTAAACTTACTTGCCTTAGATTCTTGGTTGAATGTGAGCCAAGGGAGTGAATTTTGTTAAGAAAAGTTTCATAACCTTAAGTTATTAGAAAACCTAGAAATTTTCGCAGGAGGCTCTGCGCAGGTTTGGGAAATTGGCTATAACTTCGTATAGAAAATTCGAAATTGAGTTCCGTTTGTTGCATTTGAAACTAGACTCATAGGGCTTCCTACGGTATGAAATTCAGAGTTTGATTCAATCTCTATAAATGCCAGAAAATTTGCAAAGTTGACTGAAAATTCTGCCCTGCACAAGTAAACATAGGAATGTTGTAGTAGCTTATGGTTCAATTTGGACCAACTTATAAACTAAATCTCTTTGAGGTGTCTTCTAAAGATTATTAGTATTTGAAGTATAGTTTTTAACAAGCCAAGTTGTATGAATTTTTTATATTTATAACTCAAGTTCTGATTTTTCTAAAGGAAGGGCATAAGTTAGGCTTTTTGTGCATACTAGGGTTTTGGTGTGTTTTTTTTTGTGCATTTTGGTAGTGTGATTGTGAGGACTTGTAAAATCCCCCATATTTTCTTAAAAATTTCCTTTTATTTGGAATCCATTATTTTACAATAGCTTTACTACTCATTCACTTCCTCAATAGTTACAATTAATCATAGAACCAAGGGTTTTCCCTTTACTTTCATCGTTAAGGTAAACTAGGGTTTTTACGTCTTTTGGTAGTGTGATTAATCGGTGTGGAGTGTGTACTCAATTTGGTGATTAAGAGTGAGTTTTAGATAAGAGAAAGTGTGTGATTAGAAGTGATAATAATAAGTGAGTGAATCATAAGTGAAAACACTAGTACAGGCGAGTTAAGGAAAAACGGCATGAACCGACGTGCACCGTTTGTTGCTGATCGGGTGCACCACTTGAACACTATTTTATTACCTTAATCTCCTTGCTTTTATTTCATAAATATCAGCCCTAAATATCTCTTATACCAGCCGAAATATTTGACTTAAAACAAGAGGAAAGGAAAAAAAAAACTAGAGAAAAATTAGTGGTGCCAAGTGTCACTAGCTAGCCACAATTTTTGACTAAGAAACTTTCTTATCATGTCTTAACACCAATTCATCTTTCATGTCTTAAAACCAAACAAAACAAACTTAAGAGTAGGAGAGGGAGAGAACCGTGAGCTAGGGGGAAAAAAAACAAAGAGGAAAAAAATCTATCCAAGGTCTTGACCAAGACCCTTTGACCAAGCCTTTCTTAGCCTTCATCTTGTACACATTGAACCCAACCATTTCATTTTATTGTAAGCTTGGCCGAGAGAGAGAGGAGAGGAAGAGAGAAAAACTCCATCTTGATTTCCTTGCTTGCTTTGTGGAAAAAAATCAAACACTAACCCTAATCCATACCGATTAAACTTAAGTTAAGCTTGGAGAGAAGACCTTGGTGGAGTTTTTGGAGGAATAAAACTCTGGTTTGCTGGGGGTTTGAGGTAAGTTTCTAGAAAACATCTCTTTTATTTGTCTCTTGAGATTCATTCAAGATAAGTTATGATTGAAGCCAAAAGAAGCATGGTTGTGAAAGATTTTATGGTTTTGGTTAGGGTAGCATGTAATTTCCAGCTTTAATGTTCAATTTCCAGCCTTGATATGCATTTTCCAGCCATGAGATGAACTTGATAGTTTTGATATGAGATGATTCAACTTTGATGTGAACTTTTAAGCTTTGGTATATGATTTTCCAGCTTTAGTTATAAAATTCCAGCTTTAGTAGAGAAATTTCCAGCTTTGATAATGAACTGCCCTGCTTCTGACCAGCTTCATTCGTCCATGTTAGAGGTCGAATTAGGCTTAGGTCAAAACATGAAAGTTGTAGGAAATGATGTTATATAGCTGCCTATAAAATTCAGCTCAATGGGAGCACTGTAGTATGTGAAATGACCGAAATACCCCTGACTGCAAAATATTCTTTTCCGCGGGCAGTTTTGAGATTTCACATTTTTGGCTTCATTTTTCACTTTAATCCATATCAAATCAGCCTTTGTCCAAAACACTAAAGTTTTAGCCCTATGATTCAGCTTTCCAACGCATCTGAAAACACCACAATCGGAATTTTGTAGTTTGAGTTATTGCCATTTAAATCCAGTGCTGATAACCAGACTGACAATAAAATTCTGGTTCTGTAATCTGCAAATTCGACCTAGATCAACTAGGAACTGGGTTGAGTTGTCTTCATGAAAGTTGTAACCCTTTAGGTTAGCTTCGAAACGGTATAAAGTGTATCCCAATCTGATAAACGTAGCTCCAATTGTGACCAAAATACTATAAGATGTGAAATCTGCTGTTTAGCCTTTTGTCTTCAAAACTGATTTCCGGTTGTATTATTAGACTTGTGTTGTAATTGAATAATTTTGGAGCCTAACTGAAGGGCTATGATGGTAACATTGCTTGTGTGTGATTGTGGGGATGAATTGAGAAAAATAATGAAGCCATAAATGACTGAAAAAATAGCTAAATACAAAGGGCATGCCACCCAAATTTTCACTTGAGGACTAGACGTGTGTACTTGTGGTTCGAGTAAAGAGTTGAGGTTGAATTGAACTCGAATTGTCTAGGTTATTCGAGTCTCTTTTGTAGAGGTATATAAACTGGAATTTGGCCGAAACTCATACCCTTGGAAAAATTAAAGTAGTGACCACTCGGAATATGTTTTCCTCGTTTTTTGGAATTAAATGCGAATTCCAAAGTTTTAGTTGCTTCTTTAGCAACACCTAAAGAGCGAGCATGAATTTTCTAGAGTTCGATAAGTAACTTGAATACTACTTAAACGAGTTTCATGTACTTGATTTTCTTGAAGCGAAACTCCTGTGTTGCGAACCCTAGTTGATTTTAAACTCTTGCATAATATTTTATCACAGATTTGGACTCCAACCAAAGAGTTACACCTGAACGTGATTTTGACAAGTACTAAATCTTTGGTGAGTGCTTCCAAATACATGATTGAACTTGATATTTGATTTACCAACGTGATCGGATAACATTTGCTTGGTTTGGTCAGGCAAGTGTGTACTTTATTGCACCTGACCTAACTCAACTAAGTATTTGATATCTTATTCATGCTTGCACAAGTGACTTGATTTGCATTGACCTGTACTTGTATTTGTACTTGTGCTTGACTTGTAAGTGCTAAGCGGCAGTATGTACCACACTCGATATGAGTGGGAGGTACCTCTCATTCCCGTCTCCGTACTTTTCTCTTGACTAAGTCGATTGGTCATCGACTATAGTGACTACTTGGGAACCCAAACCCCACTGGCTAGTTAATCGAGTCGAGCCGGCAAGGGCTTGGTCGATTAGATAACGAACCATGCGTATCTAGTGTGTCGAGTAGAGTGTTATCTCCTCGACTAATCGGTATACTCGAGTATTACCACCAGTGTTTAGTTGGTGTTCGGGCTCGGTAAGGGGGTTGAATGGTGGACGGATTGGTGTGAAGCGAAGTACTACTGGACTGGTTACGTTCCTCGAAAGTTGATGGAGTGTCAACTAATACTTGATCAAGCTCTGGTGAAGCAACGGAAAATTGGCTCTTGAGAGTCCTCTGCATCCTTATACTTTGATTTTTATTCGTAGTGTTATTGTTTCTTTTAGAAAAGAATTTTACACTAGCTTATTTTGAGATTTGCTACTTGAAGTGTTATTGCTTACTTTATGGACTGATTATGCTCGTTACTTTGCTACTTTGATACGTGAACTTTTCAATAATTGTCAACTTGCTATTTGAAATCTCACTGGGCTTTTAGTTCATTCCACGC